CAGTAATTGGTGTGAGGTTCTGTGCCCAAAGTATCACGTGTAGTGTAATATTTTGGAATATAACTACAGGTGAATACAAGATCTGATTTCAGCCTTAACAAATTTGTTCGTCGGTGTTAGAGGCATACCTCCCTACCCGTTCATCTCGGCAGTCTTCAGAATCTGAGGGACAGAGTAAGCTTGTGCAAATTCACTCACGCGCTTGCGTGTGGGTGTGTGTGCGTGCTGATGACAGGAACACGGGGTGGGAGATTAGAGGTGGTTCCCAGACTTATTCTGCTTCCATTTTAAAGCTGTGTTTGATATTGCCCTTTTTCAGTTCCAATTCAAAACGCAAAATTTTAAAGATTTTAGTAAGCTTATTCATAGCTCTTCAAAACAGATGGAAGTGAGAGAGTGACAAAAGAGTTGGGAGGGGGGAAAAAAAAAAATCAAACAAGATAACCACAACAGAAGCTGTTCTGGAGCGCTGGTGATAAAATGCAGAAATGAAATGAATACAGAACAGAAAAAATGAAAATATTATCTATTCCCAAAAAACCTACAGTCTGAGTAAAATGTCAGCAGTCGGCAGTAACCAATAGTATTGACTGCTGAAGGGCCAGTTCCTCTTTGTTAGGGTATGATAAGACATAGTTTTCAGAAGACTGTAGAATATTTGTTCTTAAGTAAAGCTGCCAAACCTTGGCACCAGGTGAGGAGATAAGATGAATTGATTTAGGAACCCCAAGAAGTACTGTAGCACAAAAGCAAAGTTAGCTCATTTTTAACTCCCAGCATAGTGTTCTCTATGCACTTAATCAATGAGCCCTTAATGAAAAATATATAAGCAGTCTTGACAGTTGGGTCAGAACTCTTCTAGTGCTGGAGCAGTGTTCTCATCATATTTGTTCTCTGATTTGCTGTTGTAGTCTTAGCCAAGAGCTAATCAGCTCAACCTCGTCCAGGTTTGCCTCCCATCCTGGTCAGTGGAAGGCAGGAACACGGGGATGGAGGTCGTCTCTTTCCAGGGTGACTCCAGTAATCATTAGACTATTATGCAAAAGAGCAAACAGTAACTAAAAGAGCTGACCTGAAGTCGAGCTGAAGGAGGTAAAGACCAAATTCACATTGAATTGTTGGTTCTTCTGGCCTGTTTCTGAGGGCTGTCAGGTGGAGAAGAGCAGGAAGATAGCTAAAGCACTTTTATATAAGCTACCTGAGTACTTTTCCTTTGCATCATTTATTTTATTGCATCATTTGCATTATTTAGTGTACTAAATAATGTTGCTTCTGTTACAGCTGTTCCTGTTACTCCACAGTATTTGCTCAAACCAAACCATGAAGGGATGCTGATCTGAGACAAGTGTTTGTTCATATTTCCATCCTAATCGAATGACAGCTTTGTGGTCTTGCGTCTTACAGTGTAGAATAACAAGCTTTGTCCTGTCAGCAAGATAGGAATTCTTTTTTTGCAAAAGTCCAATACTTAAATCTTTCTGCAGCTGAAATCCAAGGCTTTAGAATCATTACAGTATGTTTATAGAAGAACTACTTAAGTCTATTTTTAGAAACCCTTGCAAATGATAAAAATAATAACTCTTCCCTGTTCAGAGGTCTCATAGTAGAAATGCAATTTGTCTTAAGTGCAGCAGTTGGAAAATACTACTACTACATACAACACCCTTTATAAAGTATTTTAAAAATAAGTGTTCTGTATAAACATGTGATGAAGTATGATAGATCAGAATCCAAATGTTTGCTGGCATGTTTTTGGATTGGGCAGCCTAATTTGATCATCCGATTTTTTTTTTAAGAGTATCACCCTGCCTCCGGCCCACACATTCAGCAGTATTTAATGTCAATAAGATTTAAAAATCAAAATTATTGAATAAGAGCGAAGAACTCAGGAATTGCTTTGTATTCCCCATTATCGATATATGTTCCATTGTTATCTCGAACGCATGGGATGCCCTGTGTGACGTCCCAGAAGTACATTTCTTTGCTTAAAGGTGTCAACATAGGATCGCTGTGAGCTTCTGCAAAAGACGACAACGACATGTGAAAAGGAACAGGAAAAGTTGGCAACAGTTTCCTCTTGCCGTACTTGCATGGGCTGTTAAATTTTATTACTTGAAAATTGGCTGTGTTATTTTTTCAGACATTTGATAGTATTTTAATATGTAACTTCACACATCAAACCCTTACTTTTTATAGTATGTAATTAACAAATCCTTCACACTTCCATTTTCCTTCTACGTGCTGATTTTTTTTTTCCCTTTTTGATTAGCGTGCTCTGATGTATACACAAAGTTACTAGAAAATCAGTAGTTCCCTTGTCAGTTTTGTATTTTACCATTGTATTAAACAGTTGCTAGTGAAATTTTTGGAGAAGTTTGCACATTAGTTGCACATAGGTACATTTACTTGTTGCTTCTTAATGTTGCAACAGATTTAGAAAGTCAGTACTGATAGATAGTTGGCGTGTTCTTGGAACAAATACAAACGTTCATATGTGTTTGGAGCACTGAATGTACTAGATCTTTTGGATGTATATTGTCACTCTCATCCTCATGTTTCAGGTTCGTTTATTGGACGTTGAAAATCACCGTTTGACAAAGGTTTTCAGAACATTGCTTTGCTCAGCTAAAAATAGTTCTGCTGATTTTGCCAATGATTAAACTTAAAGCAGTAATAACTTTTAATGCTAATTTCTCTCCTATAATCAAAAGTCAGTAGAGCATTCACTTTTCGTTAACTGACGTGTCTCTAATCCAAGTTTGGGTTTTGGTTAAGCAAACACCCGCGACTGGGGGTTCGATTGAGAGGTTCAATTATGGGGCTACAATGGCCTGGTTTGGCTTTTGGCACTACGTTTATTTCCAAAAGCAACTGCGCTTGCTTTCTCTTTCAGTCTGTTTGCCTTCTTGCCGAAAAATAAGAGGGGAGATGTAAATGTATGTGTATGATAATGATCCTTTTTGCTGTGAGATATTCATTAAATGACTCTCCATGTGAGTGAGCGGTTACAAATGTTGCTTAGTATTCTTCACGTAACAGAGCAATTTGATGTGCAAGCGATCCAGGAATAGATAAATATTATAGTGAGGAAACAAAAAACTTCTGTTATACCTGTGAGGCAAACCTCAATGTATTCCGAAGCTTTAAGTTTTGATTTGTACAGAAGGAAGATATTTTTATTAGGAAGATGAAAAAAGGTAACTTTGAGAGTAGCGGGTTTCACAGACTCTGGAGACCATGCACGTGCTTACTTTTAAAGGAACAGCAGTCACGAAGCTAGGAATCAAGGCTGTGACGTGAGTTGCTCTGGTTTTTTGCGCTTAGCCAGTTGGTTGGATGATTAAAGACCATCCAGTTAGAGAGAAAATGTATGAAAACGTTAAATGTAAATGTAGAAGGAGAGCTGCACCAAATTTTAAACCCTTCTATTTTTAAAGGCTGTAAATTAAATAATGTTTTAGTCAACAAAATGAATACATAATAGTGAATTCAGCTTTGAGTAAAGCCACGAGAGCTGTGCTCAGCTACACCTTCTCTGAATCGCTATGTTAACTGTAATAGCTTTTGAGGTGGTGCGTTGTTTATAGCATGAAAATGTGATCTTATCACAGAGTAGGGTGTTCCTGGAGAAGCCTGAGAACTTCATCTTGTGGGACAGTGGAGTCTGAGCCTGCTTTACGCTCTGTGGCTTTTAATGTATACGTGCTTGTGTTAAATAAGTGAATAATTCACTGAATGCTGGGGTACTACTTGGATACTTAAAGTTAAGCACGGAGGGTGAGCATTCACTTTAGTTTTCCCTGTGAGGGTCAAGGCGCTTCTGCAGAGATCAGTCGTGTCAAGGAGGTAGCATGCAGAGTTTCCAGCAGTGTAATTTACCACCCGGAGCTCTTCCAATAGAGAAGAGTGGTTGGTATCTATGGGAAGCAAGTAACACTTTTTGTTTTCTATTTTAATAAACCTTCTAGAATTTCCAGTAATACCTAGCGTAAATGCATTGCTGAGGTAGAGAAATCAAGCTCTTAATCTGAAAGTTAACTTATTGACAAAATTAGGTAAACTATGTTTAGGGTTGTGTAATTTTGCTACTTTGTTAATCTGTAATTCATTAACTTTGCTTACATAACAGAAAATGCATGAGGGATACTGCACTTTGTATTAATACAGACATATTTGGAACAAAGACTTTCCTGACTTTGTAGGAGTGATTTAGAAAACTGCTCGTTTTGTGAAGAGACAGTATTTACATACTGCAGGGAAATCTGAGGACCATGGAAATCTGTAGTGGTAAATCTCTTTTGGAAACCCCACTTTCTAAGTATCCAGTAATGGATCTAGGACTAGGATACCGGTATGCTAGGATATTATTGCAGGATAAAGAATAGTCTTACTCTCACTAAATATTAGAGGCTGCGTAAGGAGTGCAAGAAGCCAGAAAGGCGTTTGTTCTGATATAGAAGAGGTCTGTCTTACGGGGAAATCTGAAGCTACGTGGAAATGTGAAGATGAAGGTGTAGTACTTACTGCAGGGGGGGGTTGGGCTCGATGATCTCTCAAGGTCTCTTTCAACCCAAAGCATTCTATGATTCTATGATTCTACTTAAGTGCTACGCTAAAGGCAGCGACGCGTCAGCGCGCAGCTAGAGCACGCTTTCCGCAAGATCATCCATTGGCCTTTGTGTTCTTGCTCTTCTTTGAGACTCTGAGCTTGTGTGGCTCGGATGAAGTCTGGTGATGGAAAGTTGAGTCTTTTCCCAGGTGTGTTTTTGCTCCCACCGCCTGTGTACGCACCAGGATTCTGGGTCAGGCCCCGGTCCCTCGCGCCTGGCGGCTCCTTGGCCCCCGTCTCGCGGGAGGCTGCAGCTCTGCTGCTCCTCTGGCACGGGTCCTGGTCACAGGCTGGCCGCCTCCCCACAGCAGTGGAGCCCCATCTTCCAGCCTGCTGGGCCTTGAGCACTCTGGCTTGAGGATATCTTAATGTAAATTGCTGGTTCTCGGGCATGGGTGACCTGGAGCGTTTATCCTTGCTGAGAGAGGTGAGAGGGCTGCAGCTTGTCACGCTATGATATACCGTCATAGAATCATAGAATCGTTTACGTTGGAAAAGCCCTTTAAGATCATCCAGTCCAACCATTAACCTACACTACCAAGTCCACTCTAAGCCAATCAAGGGTAGACCAGACTGAACCATGTCCCCAAGTGCCACCTCTGCCCGTTTTTTGACACCTCCCCGGGAGGGTGCCTCCCCCCCGCCTCTGGGCAGCCTGTTCCAATGCTTGACCACCCTCTCCGTAAAGAAATTTTTCCTAATTTCCAACCTAAACCTCCCCTGGCGCAGCTTGAGGCCATTTCCTCTCGTCCTATCACTAACTCCATGGGAGAAGAGCCCAACACCCACCTCACTACACCCTCCTTTCAGGCAGCTGTAGAGAGCGATCAGGTCTCCCCTCAGCCTCCTCTTCTCCAGGCTGAACACCCCCAGCTCCCTCAGCCGCTCCCCACCAGCCCTGTGCTCCAGACCCTGCCCCAGCTCCGCTGCCCTTCTCTGGACACGCTCCAGCACCCCAATGTCCTTCTTGTGCTGAGGGGCCCAAAACTGGACACAGGATTCCAGGTGCGGCCTCCCCAGCGCCGAGCACAGGGTTATATAAATGGGTTCGCAGTCAGCTTGTGACTTTGCCCTTTGTCTCAGTAACAGAAAACATACCTGACAGTCTACAAGAAGAATTCTTTGGGGGTCTCCCTTCCGAGTCCCACGCTGGCTGGGATCCTTTCTGGTTCTAGATTTAGGTTCCCCAAAGGCTGACCGCACTGTTCCCCTGACATCTGCGGTCATTCCGCATTTCATCTAGCTTTCTCTGGCCTTCCTCGCCTCACAGTTGAACCATGCCTGAACTGCTGTGAAAGCAGTCTTTTCTCCTTTTTGCCTTTTTGAAATTTTTGGATGAATTCCCAAGATGTGTTATCAGCCAGGTTGTATAAATTGTTTGTAAAGATTCCCATCGGTTCAGATCTTCAGTAAGGAAATATGCGTTTGACGCAAGTATCAATTTATGAGATAGTCTGTCATACATAAGCATGAGGGAGAAATTCACAGCATTTTCCCATATTCTTTCAATAATGAAAAATAACGTAGAGGGCATGGAAGGCAATGACACCATAGATAACTTACTTTTTGAAATCTTGTTTGTCTTTTAGTGTTACCAACTCTCCTAGGACGAGAACTTGCTCTTGCTCGTTTGGTAATGAAACTTCCTCTTGTAATAGTTCGGGATTTTACACGGTGTTTGAAGTGCTGCATCTAACTGTTAGTGCTTCGTGCAGCTTTCCAAAAGGCAGAGTAGATGTGAGAAGTAAAATGTGAACTAGGCAATCCGAATAAGATATTAATAAAAAGAGTTCATGCCTTAGTCATCTTTTTCTTAACTGACGTGATTTTTAAACAATAGTTGTTACCCTGGGTCATCTAATCTCACGAAAACAAATACTTCCAGCTTGAGTTCTTTGGTCTTTGACAGACTAACGCTAATAAAATTAGTTTCATGTTCAGATATACTAGAAAATGCCAGGAGAAAACCCCCAGGTACTTGTTTTTGTCAGTGAATTAACACTTGCATAGCTTTGAAATTAATTGTTTAGCATGCTCATTACTCTTAGAAAAAATAAATATGTTCTCATTATGTTCACTTGGTGAACATATGTATCTTGCAGTACATTTAATGTTACTTGCTGTGAGGGAGATTACAACTCTTTTTAAGGAAATTGGGTAGATTAATGGAATGGGGTGGGTTAAATTGCTCTCCACATGCATTCCCTAGCATGCCTAGCCTACTCCTGAATTTTAATTGATATATATATAAAAGAGCTTAGCTGAGGATGCTCTGTGATGCAACTGGAGTAAACCAGGCTATAGCCTGTGTATGGCAGGGGCTGGGCTAGGTAAATGTGCTGTATGCGAAAACAAAGCGAATAACACATGGAATCACGTTTTACGCCCATAATCACAGTCTGCACGTGAACAGTTGCGTTTTCAGCAGCCTCCTTGCGGCTCTACGCGTATTGATCTGCGGTGAACTTCAGCAGGTGTTTTGGGGCTCTTTGTAAGAAACTTCCTCAGCAAGGTAGAGAAAGTGGACAGAATCCATGAAAATAACAAATTACTACTTTGTCTTGTTAAGGACCCTATACAGTTTTAATACCGCAACCTGTGACAGAGCCTGAAGAGGGTTTTTCTGATCCTTATTCTGGCTTTGAATTACCAGTAACAAAGATGAGGATTACTAAAGACTAAATACTCCTGATGCAACTCATTGGTTTCAGTAGGAGTTCTTCCAGAAGCTGGGTATTCTTAACTATTGAATTTTTACCAAATTTCCTGTTTCAAATGAGAGAGAAGGTCCATGTAACCTTGCTAAGGTTGTTATTTTGGGGGGGGGGGGTAAGAAAACAGCTGAAGACTTCAAAGATTAGTGCTTTAAAGAAAAGCTTTCAAAATTTGGAGTAAGGTCATATATTTTACGCAGACAATACTAGACTGGCAGGACATTTTAACGACTGCCTTGAAGGTACTTGAAGTCCCACCTATGATGTAAATTGTATTTTTTTTTTCCTTAACACCATCCCCTTTCTGCCCCCTGCTGCCGCCCGGTTGGTGTTGGAGCGTTCTTAATAAGCATAATGCTTCCATAACTTTATATTTTATTTTGCTGAATGTGCATTTAATTAAAAATCAGATTTAATTTCAATAGCTTCTTATGATTTCAGCTAAAAGGGTGGCTTTATGAGATGGGAATAAAATGGGTGTGACACTTCTAATGAAATGAAATTTCTCTACCAGAAATTTATGTTGGTTCACTGCAGAGCATGTGCCAAACCTGTCTTGATTTACCCGAAAATGCTCTATCGGAAATAGGACTCCCAACTGCAGAATGTGTCCTATCCCAAATGACTGCCTTGAAATCACTTATTTTGAAGTAATATTAATTCAAATTCTTGATAAATTACTCACTGTAATATAACATGCTGGTTTAAAACTTTTACAGTCTTTTCATTAATAGATGATAGTGAAGATTAGAGCTAGTATTTTTTGTGTAGACTTCTTAATCATAGCCTTTAAAGTAGAAGCTGAGCAATAAACATCTAATGAATAGCTTATGGCAAGTTTATTCTCAGAAGCTATGTTACTGTGTTGGCACAGATCAACATAACAATTTATCACTGAATTCTCAAAATTTAAGAACTGTAGCTATTACTTATACATGCTAGTCATTCTCGATGTACATTACGTATGAGTAGTTTCTAGCATTTTAGGATACTTGCAACCTAAATCAGTATATATTATTCATAATGAATACGTTCCCTTCTAGAAGAGGATGTATTAGGGAATTAAACCATTCTTTAATATTTTTTAGCTTATAATAGTCTTTGTCTTTTAAAAGACATAAAAGAAATCATTGTCATGGGTGGCTATTAGAGGAATTCCTTAAGGTAGTCATATTTGAGGAAGTCATCTGCAATATATGTTGAGCTGTGTTCTGTAGAGACAGACCACTTGGCTTTCTTCCCAAAGTGAGGTCTTCAAATTAATCTATGGAAATAATGAAAGAAAGTATAATAGTTTGGTGGTGCCCATAATCATCAGTGTTATGCAAAGCTGCAAGCTTAACTCTACTCTGCGTGTTGTGCGGCTGTGCCACAAGCGTGTACTCAGTGTGGGCTGAATTCACTTCTGTGTACTTACTCATAGCTCTATTTCTTTCTCCATCAACATAGTACCTATATAGATTTCTACAAAAATACAGCGGCGTTATATTCTGATTTGCAGCCATTAATGATAATGGATTTATACCTACTTTATTTTTAATGAAAGAAATGTGGCCATTTATGTAAAACACTAAATACATAATTCATAGGTTCGCCATTACTATACAAATAGCATCTTAATGTGAAATCCAAAGTTCATAGTACTCTGAAAAGTGATGTATTATGTACCCACATCCTCCATTGGGGAACTTGGGTCTTGCCCTTTCAACATCTGGAGAGATCAAACAATAACTCATCTGGCAAGAATGACAATGTATGTAGCAGAATAAGCATGGGATGGGGACACGCAAGATCACAGATGCCCGACTAATTCTCCTCACCAGTGAGCGCTCGCCCTGGTCAGATGGCCAGTGTGTTGGAGAGATTGGAGGTCTCAGGATCCCTTCCTTGCATGTCCACGGTGGTTTATTTTTGTTTAGCTGAGTGCATACATTAAGTGTTAGTTGCAACACTCCCTCTAGAACTTTCTTCTCAGTAATTTTGCACTTATTGGCTGACCTAGCTGAATTTATTTGTTAAATTTACTAAATGTCTGACTAGCCATAAGCTGCAGAAAACCAACCAGGGAACTGAAATGGATAGGAAGAACACACCCTCACTAATTTTCCTTTCTGACAGCTTAACAGACCCAAAAGCATTTATGTTACTTTCCCATTTAGGCAGTTAACTTCTGAGTGGTTCTTAAACACCGGGGACCTCTAGCTGGAACAGCCACCTTGGTCAGCAATCCAAGATTTAGGCAGATAGTATATTATTTAGGTAGTGGGAATATAAGCAATTTTTATATTGTATATGTGATTTAGTATGTTCTGTGCCAGTTTTATTTCAGATTTAATTCTGGGACATGCTGCGCTATGTAGTCCTTTTGGATTTCTGCAACTGTTGCGCTTGGAGCCATGCTCCTGCTGCAGAATTCCAACAGGAGCAAACATATGGGGATTCTTCCGTCCTTGGCTTGCCCCACCATTTGTTCCACGTTTTAAACCAACTGGTGCTGTACCCAGTGGAGTACATCTGTTACAGTTTATTACTAGAAATTTGCAATTCATTTCCGTTTGCTAAAATAATTATAATATTCATGGCCAAGAGTACAGCGTTAAGCAATTACAAAAGACAGTAGGCAAAATTGTGCGTACGTGTATGCGTGGTTGAGGACCTACTGCCCGGTTTGGGCGATTTGGTCACTCAATAGCCTACCGCCAATGAGTCAGATGTGCTCTGACAGTTGAGTCTGATCATCTTGAGAAATTAAAGTAGCAACTGAGATGCTGTAAGTGACATCCCTTATGTGAATGTCCCTGCTCTGTTTTAATTAAGAATGAAATAAATTAGCATAAACCACCACTGAATGCATTTGGTTGCCACATCTTGCCTGAGGTACTCAGCTGGGGAACACCCAGAAATGGAGCAGAGTCTTTACTGTTGGAATTGCAGAGACACATCTGATTACACCCTCTAACTCTTCCTGAATGTTTTTGAATGTTGTAACCCACTTTTTTGGTCTCTTTGTGCTTCAGGCAAGCTGGGAATTACTGTATTGGGCGATGTTGTTATTTGCAGGTAGAATTTTCAAGTAGCTGAGGTGTCCGTTTTGTGGGAAAGATGGATTACGGATCAGTCCAGAGTAAGCATTAAATAATTGATTAGAATGTGGCACCTTTGCATTTAAAATTAAAAAAAAAGTCCCCATAAACATCAACACAATAAAATCTTAATACAACAGATTACTTTTTCATCATTATCACCCACTCAAGTGGACTTTTAAAATAAGGAAGCATCCTGATATAATATTCATAACCCCATCGTACTCATCATGTTCAGTCTCCATTTCTGTAAGTCAGTCTCGCATATCTTTGACATACAGTAACGGCATAAGCACACCCTATTCACCACAGTGGAGAAGTGTAGTGCTAGAGTCAAGGTTTTTTTAAAGGAAAACTCACAAAACCAGTTCCAGGAGTTACAACCAACAATATGTCTGGTTTGGTTCTCCATCACAGACCTGAGTCTGGATCTGTCGCTTGCACGCTGTTCACACTCACCCCTTGAATTAAATGAAGTCGGTTTTGCTACGGAAACCTGTTGTTTGCCTGATTTGAAAAAGAGCTTGGGTTCCAAAAAGCTGATTTAATTTTTTGACTTCCACTAGTATAATGAAAGACATTACAAACTTCCTTCTGCCTGTGTTGTCAGACCACCGCTGTCACTTAAAAGTACATCTGTGTTCCCAACATTTGTTTGTGTCCTTGCAAATAAAAGCATCGTAAGAGAAATGAAGTTAACTCATCAGCTTGCTAGGCGTAGAAGCAAGTTCCTGTGAAGGGGAAGCTGGAATTTGTACTGAAATGATGGATCGTTCAGAAATAACCCAGATCCTTTAAAATATTTTTGCTTGTTTTGCTTTACAACTGTTATTTGGAGTGATATAATGAAGCAAATTATGTGTTTCTATATGCCGTACATAACAAACATCCGGGAATGGAAACCATTATCATGGCCACTAAATATAGTTTTGTTTTCTAGCAGTCCTAGAAATGTCTTTAAATATCAAAATCTGAGTGGTGTGGACAATACAAATCTTAAACAAATTCGTAGGAGGCTGCGCTGTAATATCGAGTAATTGTGTTTTGGTTTTGCGTACCGCTGTAAATAAGTGTGAGGTGGGATTTAAGAGGCTTTGAACTTTTTTGGAAATTTTATCTATATTTTATTATTTTCTGTTCTCTTTCTACAGAACATTCTGGCTTTAAATCCCCGAAAACAGACGCATGCAGCTCTTCATTCAACTGCAGCAAAGAAACAAGTCAAGACGCAATGGAAAAGGAATTCTGACAAAAACTGTTCAGTAAGTGCATGTTGTTATTCTGTCTGGAACGTGCAGTAAATCATTGAGGCTGAAATCCCAGTTGTGCGAGAAATTCAAATTTGAGTTTTCTGTGTTGTTCAGTAGCCAAATTTGGCTCCTAGTTCTGTTCCTGTAGATACGGAGTTACTTTGTGATCAGCTAGTTGCTTTTTGGAAGGGAGTACATGGCCATACTTTCTTCTTTTTTGGTGATTTGGTTAAGTCTTTGATGCAACTTTTTTCCCTTTTGTTACGGAGTCTGATCCGCCTCAAGGATCAAGCGGTATCCGAGCTGGCTCACCACTTCCCGAGGCTTTTGGGGCGTCCCGGGGGGTGGCGGAGCCGCTCGCGCTCCCTGGGTTGCCAGCGTTGGCCGCTTCTTCTGCAGCCTGCGGGGCTGCTGCCCACGTGCTCCTTCTCGTTCTGTTTTCCAAGAGCAACACTGGGTCCAGCAGCACTTCACTCTCCTTTCTGAGACCTTAAAAGGTAATTTTATTTCAGTACAGAAATCGAGGAACTCATCATATATGCCTATTTTATATACATATGTCTGTCTATATAGTGCTACCTATATGTGTACTATATATACATGACCATATGCATATATGTTATATATAAATACATAAAGCTTAGATTAAAGCACGGCTCTGGATTTTAAATTTTGTGCATTGTATTTTTCAGGAAGTAGGTGGCTTTAGAATAAATATCTTTTCATTATAAAGTGTCTGTATTCTTCAGTATTTCTGCCATTAGATATAATTTTCTAAGTATTTAGTATTAGTCTCAGTGTGATATTTGACTAATCCTATCAGACTTTGTTGTCTCTTTGATCTCTCATCTGATTAGATGGTTTGTGGTGTTTTTGCTGTCTTCCTACAGATTCTCTTAGATAATCTTCTAAATTCAGAAGCCTTTTAGGTAGAGTATTACTGCTTCACCTGCAAACTATTTCCCTTATGGGTACAATGTTATGGTGCTTTTTCACAGTGTTACCAAAATATCTAAGTAGGAAAATTCAGGTTTGATAGTTGATATTTGTTTATTATTAAAAAAACCCCAACGAAACACAAATCAACCCCCCCAGTTTTTGGTGGAATTTTGAGTTCCACAGTTGCTCAAAATTATGAAATCCAGTATGACCAACAAATATTTGCTGGGAGGAGCAACCCAGGGTATCCTTAGCATTTCAGCCATACTCTAGTATAGTTTTCTGGTTTGTAGCATTGATTGTAAGAATCTCTCTCTTACTATAGCTAATATTCCTATTTTCTTATTTTAGTTATTGGCTTAGATGATGATATAATAACTGGAAACTAATGTACAGGAAAACCTTCTGCTTGGGAACGGGGATGATTACTTTGGGATGTCTGACGCCGTTGTTGCCCACAGCTGTCTGTCCCTGCTGCACAGATAGTTGAGCTGCTCCGCCAGCGGCTCCTGTGCAGCTGCAGTTCACATCGTTATGTTTTCCAGTGACCTGTAATCAATACCGGGCTGTAAACTCCTCTGTTTTCAGAAACTTTGTTAGGAAGCTCGGGTTCAGCAGGGCAGCTAAGTATCTGTGTAGTAACACGATTAGCTGGTCCAATGTAAATTATCCTAGTTACTTAAACTTCAAACTATAGCATATGCATATATATCTTCCTAAAGGGGGTTGACACATTTTCTAAAGCTTCTAGGCTTTAAGATCACTCTTGGTTATCTCCGAGCTTTCCCCCGTATCAGCCTTGTTTGATTTTTGTATTCAGTTTATTCATAAAATGTTTGAAGGTTTTGCTGTTAACTGTGAAAGTGCATAGCTTTCTAGAAATCGTCTTATTCCTGCTCTTAGCTGTGTGTGCGTACCTTGTGGTGTCTCAAACGTTCCTGGATCCCCAAGGCCTGAGCTTCTTGGGCTGTGCAGACAGCACCGATTTTGGGTTCATCGCTAGCTTGCGTGCCTTGGCTGGATTTTCATTTGAAAGAAATTTTGAATGTTGTCAAATATCGCAGGATGATGTTTTTGGCACAGGTTTACAATCTAATAAACAACTTGGCCTTATACTTCTGCGTTACTGCATGGAGATCTGTGCAGTTACTAGGAGCTTGCACTGACGGAGATCTACTCATGTGTTGCAACTTACAGGGTTGAAGGTTAGAGATAAGCAAACAGGTATATCTGTACATGCACACACCTTCATCACAGACAGTTCTTATACTGTATATTATGAATTATTTGGTAGAAATGTCACATTATTTACTTTGCAAGTCATGATAAGAAACGTAAAATGCTTGAAAAAACTGCAAAAGGGTGGTCCTTATTTTTAGGCCAGTAATGGTCCTAGTTTTTAGGACTGTCAAACTTTCCCTTACTCAGAAATACGTCGCTTACTTTTGCTGTGCAAGATTTACCACACAGCTTACTATTCTGGCAGAAAAAGCCCTACAAGACTAAAAAAAAAATCAAACCTAAACATTTGTCTGGTATCCCATCACCTAAAAGGCCTTAGGCAAAAACGAGAGACTTTTACATTCTCCGGGTCATTGTTGTTGAGTAGTTTTAATAAACAAAGAAAACAAAATGATAGAATCCTTTCCTAACCTTCTTAAAATAAGAAAGCTACTGTGGGAAAAGATGCATTGAGCACAATTTTCTGTTACGGTCTAAAAAGCAGTTGGCAGTAACGTTTAGGCCAGTGCATGAACAGGGCAAGCTCTATTTGAAGTCCAGAGGAAGTATACTGGTTTGCATTTCCTTAAAATCTGAATTTGGCTTTTTGCTTTGGCTTCTTTTAAAGCTGTACCGATGCTGCCTTTGCAGAATTACTGTTGGAGGGAAGGTGGGAGTATGAAAATACAAAACTAATTAAATTAACAGCCCTCAAAACTCCGAACAAAAGCTGCATCTGCTGAGGCATGCACACAGTGACTTTGTAATGTCTAATACACTTCCAGATGGCAGACTTCCATATTTCCTCAGAATAATTACACAAGTGAAATTTTAACTCCTAGCCTGCTCTGAGACACTTTGGGTTGCCCATTAAATGAGTTCTGAAGTGGAAGCTGAGTGTCAATATCTTTTCTCAACATCGGAAAAGCATTCTCCTAAAGGAAGGTTTAGTTACGCTCTCAATGAGCGCTATTGTTTATTTACTGTGTTAGCAACCACATTTTGCCACAAAAACGATTTATAGCTGTAGGTGCAAGATCAGTCAGCTTTCCTTGAGAAATTTTGACTGGGAGGTTTAGATCAGAGTAGGTAAAGGCTTTGTTGCCGAGTCACCCTCGGTAACGGTGCTAAACCTAAGCGTTAACATTCGGGTTTATACTGAGTCATGCTGCAAGGTGCTATTAACAGATGTCTGGGGAAACAAAGGGCTCTGTTGGTCAGAAGAAATTAAAAGCCAAAGAGTTTTGAGATGGCTATACTAATAGTAAATCTTGGAGAAGGAAGCAAAAGTTAGATCACATTAGGTCATCAATTTACAGAGAAGACTGAAGCAAAGAAATGAACTGTGGATGCTGTGAGGACTTGCTTTGGTTTCAGGCTTTTCCTAGGTAGTTCAGGATTGTTTAGACAGCTGATTTATGTTTTTATTTATGGTTTCCAACTCTCTACAATTCCATTTCTCTATGTATTTTATGCTGGCTGACATTTAAATCGCGAACTAGATGGGCGCGCGTTGCATGCGTTTGCGCTACGCCCAGCACGCTGGATTCCTTGCTTTATGAGTAGGGTTTGTAAGCATTATGGGACAAGTTCTGCTTTTACCTTGTACACGTGGGGGTTTGTTGTTTTAATGAAATTCACCTCTGCAATTTTTATAAATTAATTTGTCACTGGAGAATTCAGTGGAATATTGTAGTCCAGCCTTTTTTTGTAATGAAACCTTAGAGGTACCTACTAAGGATAGGTGAGAAGATGACAGAAGCCCACCTATGTATTCAGACTTTCTTCAGTTTCTGCTTTTAGAAATAATGGTAATAATTGCTCCAGATGGAAGAGTTGAAAGTATTTCGACGAGACAAGAAAGGTGAAGAGGAAATGGGGTTTAAATTGGTTTGTAGTTAATTGCCATAGCCAGTAACGGTGTTGATTTTCTGGCAGTAGTAGCATTGTTCTTTGTTCTTAGGTTTGCTAAGCCCGATCAGCATTGTGCAACAAGAGTCTCTCTCCCTTGAACAAAATCATTTTCAAGCTCAGCTGCTTTTTGCAGGGGCATCACTTTTGGGCAAGACTCTTTAGCTGTTCTATAGTTCTTTCCAGCCATTAGAGAGAACCAAATTCTTCACCTTGTCTTTTTCTGTGCAGCGTTAAGGTGCAACTACCAGATTGCTCCGCGCTAATGGTGGAGAGCGAGATCTGCAATTCACTGCAAGATGTAACAGATCGCGTTGCTCTTTAAATTCAGAGGACAAGGTTGCTCCCTTAAAACAGCAGTAATAAAAGTTTGCTAAAACCTCAAACTGCTTTTTAGTTTGATAGTATTTCTGTGGCTGTCACTGCTATATACGAACATCTGTGAAAAGGAATTCTTATTTAAAAAAAGGGTGGTAAGGACCCCTTAGTGTACAAATGTCCAAGCTTGCATAGAAAAACTTGTAAATAAGGTGATTCTTTCTCAGCTGTCATCAGTCTGTGACTCTAAGTATTGCCATCCAATGAGATGGAAAAACGCCACGTGATTTTTGCGCTCAATCATGTATCACAGTTACAGAATAATCAAGTTAGCAGTTCACAAATAACTGATGGGTTGAAGCAGAAATAGTGCAAATTGCAAACAAGTAGATATGAAACCCAGCTCACCCAAGGCCTGAAATCAGGAACCTTACTGAATAAATGCTTTTTCAGTGAATAATTTGGCCATTGCTAGACATGTATTGATGAAAGATTATATATTTATAAATAAAAAATAATCCCAAATATTGTAAAATAGAGAACACTCATTAAAGGAAATCAACTCAATTATCTTTATAATCTAAATGTATAGTTTACCTTTGCAAATATTTATTTTTGTCTTC